GACAGAAGGTGGTAAAATGGAGGAATACACCTACGAAATACGCAGTATTTTCTCTCTCTAATCTGCTATATTTAGTAATTTGTATCCATAGTTTGTCATGCATTACACAGTTCAGCTTATAGCTACACGCATGAAGGCGAAGTTGAAAGCTATTTCGGTAGTGTCGATGTTGGTCTTCTGGGAAGAGGATGCAGGTAGCATGCCCCTCCGAAACGTTGGCATTCACCCACAAGTTCACAAGGCTTTAGATACCAAAGACCAACATCAAAATTTCCACAGCCGTGACAACCTTAAATCTCATATACCCAGGTAATGTCAACATTGAGGCTGGTGTAACGTTGTAACTATATCATTAATCGCGAGTTATATTCGAGTTTTTCTCATTCATAAATATAAACCTGTATAATGATTATATATGCTGGATTGTAACTTAAACGAAGAAACAACTGGGCGTTCGTTATTACTTTCAGCACAAACTCTAGGTTACTGCAGTAAATATATGTTTCCATACAGCCGGTAACAAGAAAATCTAACTGAAATCAGAATATGCCCATCACAAATTTACAGATACTGGGCTACTTATCCACGTTGTTCGACTACAGAATTTGTAGACAAAATGTCGGATGAAGTGGGAAGAAGAAGATGTGATGGATAGATAGCACTTGAAAGAAGGCGGAAGTAGCCTATTTCGAGTGCTAAACAGGATTTCGCATGAAGAGACAGACGAAGACCACGAAAGACGTAATTCAGGGCAACCGTTATTCCGGTCAACATTATAGCCTTGTACTTTTGCAAATCACAGTTTTACCACTACACCACCACCACCCTAATGTGCTCGCTACCTTTAAACACATTTTTTACTTGTAATATAGGCCTTGTATATAGTAAAGAAATGCGTTTCGTAAATTAGCATTCACGTGATGGGTAGCGATGAAATTACTCCACGAATAACAGCCATTCTTGAGAAACTGATAGTCGCCCAGCTAGTCAAGATATTTTCTGACTTTCATGAAATCTAAATGTATAACACCGTGTTTAAAAAGAGCGTCACCTGTCCCTGTACTGAGCTGCATAAATCCAGTCCACACCGCTCTATCCGATTTCCTTAAGATCTGTAAGACTTGAGTACTTGAGGCTTTAAGATCTGTTTTAACATCCTCCGATACATATGCAGATACTCCGAAGAGTCTCCTCCCTTCAGCCTACCAAATTTTTTGCATTTTACGTCGATGGCTACTTTTCAAAAAGTGAATTAGAGATGCGGACAAAATATAATATTATAAAGATCAACAGATTTTAAAGGCCTTGAAAATTTCAACAACTGATTCATTATTCCTTCGAACACACAAAAATAACACAATTTTCTACCGTCCCCAACATTAAGGAATATTATTAATACTAAAATTGATGCAAAAGAAAAACACGTTTATCTATTCATACAAGTTATATTGTACTAGGAAATTTGGATTATAAATAAATTATATGCTATTCTTTATATTTATGATGAATCAGGAAATTTAAATTTCTTTACAATTCACTTAGAGATAGTTCACGTAATATTAACTTCTTCCATATTCATTCCTCACTTAGTGACATGTCTGATTTGCGTTCTGATCGCCCTCTAGATCCAGTCATTGACCTGTACACTTGGACTTAGACTTACTGTGCCCTCTTCAGTTCCCTTGTGCACATAATTCGGCAATGAAATATAAGAAACCCTCACCATGGCAACTTATTTATCATTCTTTCCTTACAAAAGACACTCAGGAACAGACGGATGCATGATACGATCTGCGGAAACAAGACTAAACACTTAAGATAACAGGTCTTGTGAGTTATCACATGGCCCAACCAGATTCGTCCTTTGATTAAATATCTTTGAGCCAAGTTCTCCAGAAAGGTTGTAGCAAATGAAACAAGCACCAAGAAACACATTCACACAGACAGACAGCAAAATACATTCTTTCAAATGAAGTGCTCATGATTCATGAACTTTCTATCCATACTGTACATGACTATATATTGTCTGAAAAGAGAGTTTTCTTTCTCCTGCAGGGGATGAGATGTCTACTGTTACTGCTCTGTTATGCTACTGTGTATGTCTAGTCTCAATGGTGTTTAGTGGGGGGATAGAGGGTGGGAAGGTGAAGGACGAGGTGGTAGGTCAGTGTCATCATCAACTTTTTGTCTTTTTCCTTCTAGACCCAATATCTCGGTAGTCAGTGTTGACCAAAACAGCAATCCATCTTGTCGAAGAGAACGAACGACTGCTACAGGTTGTAAGTATTCGTTTATACAACATCCAGCTCTCAGAAAGTTCCAGGAAGTGTATTAATTGAAAGGGAAGTAGTCATTTCTTACACATCCGTGTCACATAAGAGAAAAAACATTATGAAGACATTTGGTTCGAAAACCTAAGGAAAGTGGTTACATTTAAAACCTAAATTATATCATTCGAAACGATTAAAATTGATTTTTAAGAAGGTTACATTTAGAACCTAAATTATATCAGTCGAAACGATTAAAATTGATTTTTAAGATGCCGGTTGTGAAGATGTTGGCTGAATTTACCTCGCACAGAATAAGATCCGGGGTTGAGTTTCTGTGAAAAAGGTATAACAATCCTCCGGTTAGCATAAATAAGGAACTTTGTAACTAGATGAGCTAGTCCATGGATTTAAACCCAGTTAATACAGACAACTAACTATTTTAATAGGTAGAGCTCCTGCTTAAGTACTATGCCATAAATATGCTGAGAACGCGGGTAAACGTTTTCACACTTTTAACTTCGACACTGGACAAATATCATTGCTCAACTTCACGCTCCGACCGTTTTACTCCCGAGATAACCGTTTCCGACAACCATTGCAAAAGAGTTAGGAGAATCCCTGAGCTTCTCTGGATGAAATTGTGAAGAGAAATACCTCAGAACATACCTGGAATAGACGTGGCCGCGTTGTCGATAGTAAATAGTTTCAATGATTGCGCTATGGATTCTTGTCAATTAATATCAATGATGTTTTTTGTCTTCTATTATACATAAAGGAAACAAATCATTTTCAAACCTTGTGGTTACTCATACCGTGTAGCTAAAAATGACTGTAATTAGTTCAACCTACTATCTTTTATTACACAGTGTAACAAAAGCCAGTCGAGATAACAAATTTATACGTTCTACTAGAAATGTGACATACTGTCTTGATATCAACTAGACTTTACAAAAGTAGTTAAGTACACTGAGGGATTTAAAGGCTTGTGTCGTTGTAAAAAGATTACAGTACCAACATTTTGCAATCTCATTATGAACAACAATTGTTTAGAAAGGCTGTGAAATATCAGACGAAATCGAAATTTAATTTCTTCTATTTCAAAGCAGTGCGTCACAAAACCCTTGGGATAACCAATAGTTTGCTTTATTACTTATGGAGAAGCTTCTATTTTATGTCTGGTTTTTCAGAATGATGCCTGAAAAAAGACATCAGATTCACAATTAATTCAGAAGTAAGGACGCCCCTTTCACATTTCAGTCTTCTAAGGAATACAAATTTAGTATAAATTATAGCCTACTTCAACATTAAAACGCGTAATAGTATGTTAGTTCATCGATATTACACTGCCTGCTTCCGTAGCATATGCCTGGGCATAAATTTGTCCTTATCTAGGCAATCCCACTAAAATCCCATAACATTTATTGTGCAATGTTAAATAGAGATGCATTCATTTTGATCAACCAGATAATTTCTTCCTCACTTTCCTGAAGAGAATAGCCGAAACCCTTAATATCCCTAATCAGTCTGATGGACTTCAAGTATCATTCCATATTGAGAAGCTTCATAATTTGCACACTCTTCGGCGAATATCGTTATATCGATCCTATCAGCACAATGAAGCACTAAGAAAGTGATCAGGGTATTACATTACTCAGTCTATTTAACATACTACGTAAAGTATCATCTTCTGAAGAAGAAAACTCACATTTTTACAAGCCAAATGTTCATCACTGCATCTACAATATTGCACTGGACCCGATCCTGTACTAGGTCAATTTTTGTCAGGATCCTTATATCATTTTTTTAAAATTCATTTTAATATTATTGTCACAACTACGCATAGTCTCTCAAAGAGTCTCTTTATATTTGCATATATTTCTCATCCCTCTCACATGCCACTTCCATTCCATCTACCTTAAGGTTATAATCTCACAATATTTTTGGAAGTGTAAAAATTATGAAGCCCTTCAATTACCAGTGTTTTCCAGCCACTAGATTCGCTTCCGAGGAGGATCAAATACTGTTCTCATCAAATACCCCCAGTCGTTATTGTAAGATTCAAAATTTTACAGCCACACAAGAATAGCAAAACTATAGCCTTGTGTATTTTAATCTTTCGCGTTTTTAGGTGGGAGATGAGAAAACAACGTAGTTTGAACTCAATGTTACCAGATATTTTCAAAAAATTATCTGCTCTTTATTCTTTAGTGAACTCAATTTTCATTTCCTTCTGTCGTGCTGAAGTGTTATTTCAACATTGTCAGGTTTGTTATTAGTAAATCAGCCATACCTATATGAGATCTGGGGTCCATTGTGCCATGTGCACTTGTAGGGGTACCAGCCTTGTAGCTGGAGGCAGTTCCTCCGAAACTTTGATACACATCTACAAGTCCAAATGGGGTCATAAAGAAGAAGAGAACAATTAGCAGATTAATTATCTATTTTAATATGAAAATTGTTCTGGATTCCAGTGACAAAATACAATAAAAAATTATTTTAGAGTCCGATTTCCTTCTACATGCGCTAAGAATATGTATTTTTTGGTAATTTTAGATGGATTATCAAACATCGAACAGTGAAGAAGAATATAACTGGAAAGAAGTGGACATTAAATCTGAAAACGAAAATCGACAGCAAAAGGAACATGCTAGTCGACAAATACAAGCACAAAACAGAGAGTGTATTAAAGTTACAGGTACAGAGTCCGGCTAGGGGTAGGTGGGGGAAGGTAAAGGGTATTTTAAAATGGATAATAGTAGTGGTGGGGACAATGGCATTATTTGTACTTTTGGTGTACTTGAAGACAACCAGTCACTTGTATTTCGCAGCGAAGAACACATCTTAGAGCCGTGTAATCCTCAGAACCAAGAAATTTTGAGCCTACAGCCTATCGCAATGGCAGGAGATGACAAGTTTATTAGTGACAATGTTAAGGAAGACGCAGAAGAGAAGGTACTCGAAAATGAAGATGTGAATGAAGAACAACGTGGGATTAATGAATATAATGACGAATTTTTGAGAGCGTTACAGGCTTGCAGACGGTTACTTTCAATGCCAAAAGAGAGCGAGATGCCTGCAAAAGAATCCGAAAGTCAACAACCGATGCACCAAGATTACGGACAGAGTTCCAGCGACTGGCAACAAATAAGTGAACTGTATGCTACCAGCAGTGATATGAATCGCCAACAGTTTCCAACATTTCCTTCTGCAAATTACAGTCCACATGTGGATTGTGATACGCCGAGTTCGTGCTGGAGAAGTCATCCTGCTCACACAGCAATCAGTGGAAATAACATTCCACAACGACGCGTGTCTTCCAACTCGACATCTTCCCGGTTTGCACCGTACAGTGTTCCAGGAACAAGCAACTCGGGTGAGTAATCATACTTCAGTCACACCAAGATTTTTTATACTACACATCGTATTCCGTTAACTAAGAACATGAAACATTGCGAAACTAATAGCAGGTCTACTCTTAGTCAGTTAAGAAATTCCCCACTCTTATAAAACCTAAAGGTTCATTACTGTGTCCGCAACAGCCCACCACCGACCTGCAACCTCAGCCATTTTAATCC